GTTTCGATACTTTTGACAACCCTAGATGTCCTAAAAATATTTAAATACTAAATAACGACCCAACCATGACTCTAATATACTGATTGATAGACTGTGAGTCTTTGAAATGTTCATCTTATCTATTTTACTAATAAGGTAGAGATTACTTTGTGTCATTTGTTAAATATAAATCTGTGAAAAAGAAATCCAACATTCTACAAGGCTACCTCCTAAGCCTCCTTTAGCTTAATTTCGATTTATGCATAAATCTTTAAGTTTTCATAGCCTATCATGATTTTATTCCCATTTATTTATAGCAAGAATAGAATTTCTTAGCCATTAATTTTTTATGGAAATGTAGCATAAAATCATGATGGACAGTTTAAACTCAGAGAAATGTCCTTGCAATGAAATATATTTACTGCATTATCTCAAAATATAAACCCAGATTATTTGAAATGTCAGTCTTCTTTTAATCAGTGTGTGTGAGTGTGTGTGTGCCTGTAATCAGTGTGTTTCTATCTATATAACACCATTTATTCTAAATTGAAAGTATGGTTTACTAGTTACAGATAAAAGAGCAAAACAATTCACTCAAAACAGTATAATACTACATGTATGTTAGTTAAGTACAGATTAAAACATGCAATTTAGTTGAATAAGTACATGAAGTACCATGCTAATGTCATGGCAATCCCACAAACATACTTTTTGCTGGCCTCATAGACATCTGAGATGTTGGAGAAGAGGTGATGGTGGTCAGTCTTGGTCATCACTTCACTAAGCTCTGGAGAGTTTTTGAACAAACGAATAAGAATCTCCAAACTGTGGAGGTAGGAGTGCTCCGAGGAGATCAGTTCAAAAATAGCCTTAAAAGACAGGAAGAAAAAAGAAAGAAGTAGAGATGAAAACTGATGATAAGAAAAATTAGCACCCTAAGTTCTGTCAGCAACATGTCTTACATATCTGTAACCTTAAGTCATATCTGGAATGTAAAACAAGATATATACAACCTAAAATACATGTCAGCCACTTAAGTCTGTTTTAAAACCATCTGAATAATTATTAGCTGTCAGTCTTTATCCTTAATCTTAAAAAACTTTTGTAAATTTCAGCTTGTTAATATTACATATAGTTTATTTGTGTGCTCCTCTAATTTTCTACTTTGTTGTAATCCATTAAGGCACTAAAATGAAATAGAAAAGCCTAAATCCTACCTCTTGTCTTTTGCGTTCCTCCTGACTCAGCTGTTCGGATGCACCACTTTTCTTTACCTAAACAAAAAATAATATTCATGAACATTTTTTCTTTCTTTAGTTAAACCATTCTGTGTCTTTTGGACGCTAAGGCTGTGACTTCCAGGATTTCTGCATTTTGAGATCTGGTAAAGCAGACGAGTCCGGGAGTTACTTGTCATGACAAGGCCACTTTTACTTTCCAATAGATAAAATCCTACATGAGAGAACCATACTTGTCTTATCAGGTAGGTGCTATGTGTGTTTTGTTGCCTAACAACCCCTTTAGGCTTAGCTGCTGTGTTCAAGGGGAGCTCAGTCACAAGTATTTCAGCGCTAGATCAGATCCTCTCAGTTAACTACGTGAGTTTTTGAGGAGGGAAGCAACACAGAGCATCAATGGGTGCTAAGGACACAACGACTCGGACAGACAGAGTTGTGATTCAAGCCAGCAACCAACCAAGACAAACTCCAGCATCCTATGCCACTGCTGTATTGCTGCAACAACATAACAATTACAAGTATGGAAAAACAAACCTGCCATGACCAAGAAGACAATAAATAAATAAAAGACTTAACATAAATAAATATGTCAACGGATGCACTAAAAGAAAAAATCACAGCAGAAACAATCTCATGTAGTTTCTTCCACTCTAGTTTTAAATCAGTTATCTCAGTCAGAGTGAAAGGAAATTATTTACATACAATCCAATTGGCCTTTGCTGTAAGTGCAAAAAAGCAAACACAGTTTTCTTTAATAATGGCTGAACAACAGAGTGCTTTGTCTTAGATAAGCACAAGGCTATTGCCTAGGTTGGAGAAGGCTGACTAAGTCAAATAAAAAAGTAATAAAATTATAGCTCCTTCTCTTCTTTCACCTTATACCATATTGGTAACATTACAAAGAAATAAGCATTAGCTTTTTGTCAAGCATTATTTTTGGAAAAGTATTCCCTTACTTCCACTTGCTGCTTGGGTATAAGGAAAATGGAAGTGAAACTGCCTCCCCAAGGAGCGATATCACCCCTTGGGTTGTATCTGCCCTGCAGTATTTGAGCAAGCACAGAAAACAAACAAACCTGAAGCCGATCAACCCTCTCTAGTAATCTTTCAATTCCCTTTACACATTCAGATACCTGTTTATCATATATTTTCTACACTTTCTCTCTCAACACCTTTCCATTTTCTTGTTTGAACATTTTTAAGCAAAAGGCAGTAATCCTTCTTGTAGTGCCAAGTAAACTCAGGCTCCTGCGTACAGTACAGGGTGTGACGGGAACACTGACACATAGGCCAAATTTGCCTCTTGGAACTTGCATTTCAGGACATAAACTCTAGGTGAGCCCTCCCTTCTGAAACGTTCAACTGTTAGTCCTGGAGCATCCTATATTCTGGGATTTGATGTCAACAACAAATTCTAAATAACTAAACGCCCATTAAAGGAAAGGTTGGGACAAAATGAGATTTCCCAATACGATGTGACTCACTGCAAAAAAACCTGTATGTCTGGTTGCATACGTAAGTTTAAATGGAACCAAACTAAACTTCCTGTCACACCTTGACAATAACAGTAATATTCCACCATTCCCAAAAAAATATATGACTAAGACGCTGAAGCGTGAGTTTGATACAAACAAACCAAAAAATTATGCACCAATTGTAATTGAATTATAGCTTAGTTCAGAACACAGGTGATCTCAGATTTCCCTAAAGATGTTTCTGCAACATGAGTGGATACCTGGATTCATCAGTTGACTGAACATGATTGGGAATGCGGCACACTTAGGGTTTCAAGCTTAACATTTCATATCTTTCAAGATATAAGAGGTAAGATGACAGCAGCTAAATTTATATGTAGAAAACCTTCTCCAGAGTCCTCTGGAGGGAGGATTATTATAGCAATTCACCTTCTGTCATGAAAACCACATAAATGACACACAACCAACATAAAAAGAAGTAGCTTCTGTCTGAAAATGTCCTTGAGCGATCCAGTCACCATCCATGCTAAAATTCAATGAAATGTCTCTCAAAAGAGCTATAGATGTTGATTGCTACTCATTTCATTTCAGGTAATTTATATAGCACTAGATCACAACACATTTCATTTCAAGGCACCTTACAGAGATAATATAATGGAGCCATACTTTCAGATTGGCCAATCGCATCCAATAATTGACTTTGCAGGATTCGCTCCTTTTAAATTAGCATGTGGGAATAGTGTTCACTTGCATCATGTCTTTGACTCAACAGCAATCCCTCAGAGCGAGCATGCATGTAGCGACAGTGAAGGGGAAAAAACCTCAATCAGTGCTAGGCTCAGTGTGAGTAGAACTTCTACAAAGGCTGACTGGGGTTGAAAGAGACAGAAGCAGACATACAAAAGTAACATAGGAAAGCTGTCAATAAAAAATGTCCATTAGAAAAGATAATAGTAAATTTGTCAAGGTAAGAAACAGTTAAGCATATGAGCTATAATAAGTTTTCATGACAAAAGGTATAAAGTTAGTCACAGTAAAAGCTGAGCCCATAGCTATGTCTAGAACAAAAACATGACTAATCTCTGGGTAACAGGAACATAACAAAGATCTATATATATAACAAGTCTTTGATGGTAGCAGCCAAGCTTATTTGAATATTAAATGCAATCTGATAAAGCTTTAGGTGATCTGAAAACAAGTATGGTAAAAAGAAAAAATTGCACTCTAAATAATGTTTTTGTCATGATGATGGCTCTGTTAGATGGCCTAATTCACCTGACTAACTTTGCCCAGTTTCTAATTACCACTTATCTAATCCACCTGCTCCTGCTTCTTTATATACAGCTCAGTCCCAGCTATCTGGGCCAGATCATTGAGATTTAGTTAATTGCTAAGGCCATAGTTCATGTCGTCATTCTCAGGGGCCAGTGGTGAGAGAGGGTTTTAGCGTTTCGTAGTGTTCCTGATTTTCCTGCCCTGTTCTGCCTCTCCACCACTGAGCTTGCCTGTTTCCATCTGAATGTTCTGCCTGAACTCTCTGTTGGACTCCTGGACAGCCTGTTCCTATTCGTATCTGAATCCCTGTCCGGGCTATGGACTCCTTGAACATCTGAGCTCTCCCACTCTGATCGCTATCCCGGCTAGGCTCGGACTCCTGCAGGTTCTTTGGGGCTTCATCCGCTGCATCTCCTTGGCAGCTTACCATCTGAATTCTACCTCATTATATGTAGATGGACTGAACTGTTTAACCAGGTTAGTGACTCTCATGGATAATCCATCAGATTATCGTGGTCACTAACTTGTGTTTCTCTCCAACCAGAGTATCCAGTGATGGGCGGCGCCCAGCCGCAGTTGCTCATACCACACACCCTCATCTCGCTCCGCTTCTGTATTAAATAAATGCCTTTGAAGTATTCCACTTTCTGTCTTGCCTGAATTCTGGGTCCTACTTTCTGAGTTCATGACAGTTTTACAGTTTGGAAATAATTTCACATTTATTAGAATCTACGCAGCCATTTCGAAACTGATGTTAATTAACACCATCACCCATCTTTGATTCCAAACTTGCACAACAAACAAAAAAAGACAGATGATGAAATTAGTTTGGAAGGATTTAGTAAGAAAGTAAATTAGCCCAGTTGCTCTGTCCCTTCATTCCAAGAGTTGACTATATTATGCAATGCAGAATCCACACATATCCCTACGGGGAACATTTTAAGCATATTTGTAGTGTGACGAGTATCCAGGGTCTGCCAGCACACTGGCATTAAGCCCAGGAGTGCTTCCAAGACTTCCACTGACTATGACGGACTGTCTGCCTCAGATGCCTTGTGTGTCCTATAGGAGTGTGCTTCCTGATAAACAGTGAAAGCCACAGAAAGACAGAGGCAAGTGGGAGGATGGGTATGAAATGGGGCCAAACTGGTTCTGACAGCATTCTTTGGAGCACTAGAATTCCAAGACTTTACAGCTACAGCAGTGCAATTGTGAGTATTCCCAGTGTAGAGAAAGACTGTGAGAAACATAACAAGACTTAAAGCTCCCACAACCCTATGTGTGTTTGTCGGTGTGTGTGTGATATCTAACCAAGCTGAGTTGGCTCCAGGAGGTACGTATAGGTTTGTACTGCATGACGATGCCCCTATCAGGCTTTGGTCGCCTTGAATCAGCGTCCTCATCTGAGTCATTATGAAGAGCTTTCTCCTTGTAGTTTTGGTAAAGTTCCTCTTCTGAAGTTTGATTTTTGAGACACAAAGACAACATAAGGTCAAGGGTGGGGGACATTAAAAGGGCAGAATGCTTGGATCAAAATAAACATTAAAGGCAGTTTTTACCTTCACTATCAAAAGTGCGCTGTGATACCAATGTCTTCCTATCTGGTATCTGCAGAAAGGGAAACAAAGCACAGTCACTTTAAATCAAAGAGTATCAAGAGAACATTTACATTTAAGCAAAATAAACAATCATCACCTATCCATGAGCTGTCTATCCAATTTTTTTGCAACCTTCTTTACCGACCCTGTCTAATTATAGAGTGTTTGCTGCTTTAAGTATGGACACATTGTCTTGTTACATCACAACCTTCAACAAACAAGTTAATTGTTTTCCTGTAAGGCTTTGCCCTAATGCAAGTTTACACCACAATGGCTGGTCTGTGTTGTGGTTTTATGATTTGGATGTTATCCCCTCCTGACTGTGAAACTTTGTGTCAAAGCAATCTTTGTGCATGCTAATATATAAGGCATTAGAGGGATTGTGATTAACCCAGTCAATAAATCTAAACCTGAAACAACAAAGAAAGAAAATAATTCAACAGATTACCAAAGTCTACATGGGTTGCCACTGACTATAGGGTCAAATAACTCTCTTAGTAGCTCTTAGAGTTTACTAATAAAATACCAGCTCTTTGTTGCATAGGTGTAACCAACTGAAAAACAAAACAGAAATGCTTCACACATTTTTTCACGCTACAGTACATACTGTTGTTTTTGCATCAAACATACTTTTGGCAAATGCGTCCCATTGAATGATGTGTTTTTATTTTCTCAGACTATAGACTCAATGTTTTTGGAATATTTCATCCAGGTCGCATGTTTGTTTGCTTGTTTGTCATGTTTAGTCTTTATGAAGAAAGGGAAATAGGTAAATGCTATACAAAAACGCATTAATTTATTTTGTCAATTAGATTCAATGTAATTGCTCTTAGGTTATTACCTTAAAGATTCAAATGTGCACAAAAAGTGGTTCATATTTAATCATTCTGTGTCACTGCAAGCTTTTTATAGGTTTTTATCAGTGAGATTCATCCTTCTGTTAGACTGTCAAGACTGTTGGCATCACTATATCTAATAAAAAAACAAACAACATGCACCCTAAAGTAGATCTTCATTTTTTTTTTTTGAAGGATTTAAATTATATTCCCTGTTGAATCAGTTTATGAATAAATTCGCCCACCTTGTTTTTCTTGTTGCTTTTAGATTTATCCATCTGAGAACTAAGAGACTTTGAAATCCTGGGGCTGGCAGCTTTAGGTATTCCAGGACTTTCTGGGCTTAAAGTGGCAGAATGTGTTGAGGTAGCGGTTGAATCGACCACTCTGATAACAGGCTGGGGCAGCAGAAGGTTCCTTAGATCCACTGAGGGAACATCTGTGTCAACTCCACTCACTACTGCCCTCCTGTAAGATGTACTCCTCAAACCTCTCCGTAATGCCCCCGGGCTGTCATTCTCTCTCTCTCCCTCTTCAGTGTGCCCCCCACCGGTAGAAAAGTAGCCTCCTGCTTCCACCATGCTGAGGACTTTCAAAGCTCGTTTGGGATGGTCCAGACCCAGCCGTTGCATCCCAGTGGAAGGCGGCTTGATTTGTCGTGAGTCTGATACCAATCCTTTGGGAATGAGCTGCTGGGTGCCCATCTTCAGGGCAGCCGGACTGTTGGTACTAAGGACCATGGAAGGAGAAGGAGGGGTTGGGGAGAGAAATGGTGATGTAGAGGAGACAGAGGAAGAGGGGGAAGCAGGCTGGATGTCTTGTGATGATGTCGATGAGGTCGTCTGAGTCTGGCTGGGCAATGAAATCCCTCCTTCAACTGGTGATGGGGAGCGAGGGGTGGAAAGGTCAGACGAGGTTAAAGAAGAAAGTGATGGGGTGCTTGAAGTGGAGCTGCGAGAGGGGGTTAGGGTACCAGGAAATGTAGGTGTGGATGATAGTGAGGACAGTTCATTGTCATTAGAAGTTGTGTGTGGAGAATTAATGTGTGAAGAACTGTTGTGGGTAGGAGTTTCAGGTGAGGGTATAGCTGTCCCAGAACTGAAAAGTTCTTTCTCCAAGCCCAGATCAAGAGAACTACTGGTAGATATCTGCATCTCCTGGTGATTATTTTCAGAGATCACACTTTCTCCACCCAGTGTTTTCCGTCTGTCACTATCAAAATTACACACTCTGTTATCCAGTGAAGATCTGTTGTCCTCGGACTTATACTTGGACAATAAGAAGTGTTTATTGTACAAGCGGCCAATGCTAATGCTGCGAACAATTCTGCTTTTCTTAGAGGGTTTGTGTAAAACATGTTTTAACGCCATGCCATTTGCCTTTGGTTGGGGTGTGACAGGCAGTCGCTCAGCTGGCTGGCTCAAAGTCCAGGAACATTTGTCTTCATCCACAGGGATGTCTGCAGTTGTGACCCCATTTACATGGTAGCTCAGGGGTCTTGGCTTGGGTTTGCTCAGATCCTGGGAACCTTTACTGTTGTCTGTGCGTCGCTTCCACAAAGGTGTGATGTTATTGTTGGACAAATCTACATCATTACCCAAATCCATGGCTGTGTATCTTATTTCCACTAACAGTGGTGAAACTCTCAGGTCTCCGTGCAAGAAAAGCAATAGAGAGAGGATTTTAACCCTTGAAAGTAACAAAAGAGAAAAACAGCAATCAGTATCACAGGGCAAAGAAGTGTCCAAATGCACCAGGATTACTCATTAACTAGAGTTCACTGCAGATGCCAGCAGCAACAAAAGTTAAGACAGGAGTGAAAAAACAGGTTGAAACTGAAGGCTAGAATGTGAGGACATTTTAAAATGTTACTACTTATATTACTACAATAAGCAAATGCAAAAGGACAAGTCCTTTTGCATTTGCTTATTGTAGTAATATAAGACAAAACTTTTCTATAAGAATTTTTTATAGGTTCTGTGAGGGCAAACGTTTAGACTCTTCTTTGATCTCTTTAAATGCTTAACTTAATGAGATTTTAACTATTTTAATAGAGACAAAATATAACAAATAACACAAACTAAAATCAGGCAGATTCTAATCAAAACGATAAAATGCAGTATAATTTTTCAGCAGGTAAAAGTCCAACTTACCTCTACTCTACCGATCTGGTACAGAATGCGCCCATTGTACCTGTGCTCATTGAAACACCAAGGAGGGGATATCAAAGAATTCCTAATTATTCTTCAACACGGATCTTCTCCAAAGTTTTAAAAGTTTAACTGATCAGAGGAAGAATCCGGGAAGCTCAGTTTCCAGCGCGCCTGTTCACCAGTGAGCGCTCAGGACTGTAGTGATCACCCAAAGGAGGGAGGAGAGGAGGAGGAGAAAGAAGGGAGGAGGAATGGGTAAGGAGGGAGGGAGTAAATAAACAGCACTCTACCATAGGAATGAACTCAGGTATGCCCAACTTCCGCTCACCTTCATATAATATAAGAGTGCTTCCCCGAAAACATACATGCATACACCCGAAAGACTGAAATGTCCGATCTGAAATTGTTAACTGAACTCAGCACGACTTAGTTTAGATGTGAAAATAAGGATCTGAGCTTATTATAATATATACCTTTTGTTTTCTCCAAACATACATTTATTTTCCAATAGAATGAATAAAAACTAACTGGGATTATAAATGATAAAAATAAACAGTCATTGAAACAAACAAAGACTCTGTCTTTTTTTTTTTTTTAATAAAAAAGAAAGAAAAAAGGAAACCAAACATAGTCGGCGCTGCTCAAATCGGTGCCTTGCTGGTTTGCGCCATCGTGTGGTCCGTGTTGCAATTGCAAGCGATTTCATTTAAAATGATTAATATGGAGTTTCAGGGAAACTGGTTACATTTTACAGAGAAACAAAACATAACTTTAAGGTGAATTGAAAGTTGTGTTTTTATTTCTATTTTGTTGAAATGTACTATGATGAAATGTAACCACCATTGCTTTAAAATAACAATAAACAATATCAACCATGGGTGTAGTAGCCTAAGATGCAACAACATTAGGTCTGATTTTTTTTCCCCTTATCATACACATCTCATAAATATTTAAACAGACCCAACTCTTCAAAGATTTATAGTTTTAGTATCCATTTAAAAAAAAGCTAAAAACAAAGCAACTTTTTTGGAATGACTATGACCTGGATGACTGAGAATCTTCAACAGCTGTATCCATTTCAATAAAATGTATTGAAACTTATAAAAGGTAATGATACTATTGTGTACACTATAACTCTGAGATAAAGACTCTGCTTCATCTTCATGGAGAGATTAGTCTTTCGGTCTCGAAGCTGATGTCAAATCTCACAGTTTTTTTTTTTAAGCTTCATTGTTAAGCCCTAATAAGTGATGTAGTTGGTCAGTGGGATGTGTTGTAATACACACATTTGGCCACTAAGGGGAGCATCTATCCCATCTACTAGGCAAGGGGGAAACTGAATTTCGGAAAATTAAGTATCCCTGTAGGAGAGAAATTGGATCTTACAGCTGCACTGAAACTCTGCAAAAACAAATAAATAAAACAAGAACATATCACACTACCCTTTAATTTAATAAATTAGTAATTTAAGTTTTTCAAACCTAATTTATGCTTGATGATTGTACTACTTTTCCCCCAAGCTTTTTATTGTCATTCCACTGTCACAAGTACAGAACAACGAAATTCCCTCTCTGCATTTAACCCATCCCCTTGGGGAGCAGTGGGCTGCCATTCTGCAGTGCCTGGGGAGCAGTGTGGGGTTAAGGGTCTTTGCTCAGGGACACAAAGTGGCAGTCTCTAAACAAACGTGGGAACCAAAACCTGCCCATGGGATAAATGGGTTCTGATATCTTTAAGTGGTAGTTCTACAGAATCTCATCTTTTTAAGAAGTAAAATAAATTCCTTAACAAGATGGTGATGTTAGTTGGACAAAATAGAAAAAAGCTTTCTGAAATGTCAAGTTATTTTAGATTAATCCACAATGCTGCAATGAAATGAGAGCAAAGAGTATACAAAATGTTAACATATATCTAGAACACATCCATCATTGAATCTGAATATTTGAATTTCAGCATGAATCACATTATCTGCAGGGCCTGTTAACAAATGTTAGTCATATTCAAAAATTCTATAAAAGACTGTTTGTGTCAAAGTTCTGGCTTTATACAACCCCACAGTATCATGCTGCCTCTACCAAGTTTCAGCTTGGGAACCGAATCTTCAGGGTTTTTGACAGGGTTAGTTTATCTCCGCATCTTCTAAGCAGTGCTCCTGTACTCAACAACCTCCCCATTTTAGTTAGTTTCAAGGTTCACAGCTGTTGCTGAATGATGTTGATAGTATCAATTTGGGGAAATCTGTCAGTCTGTCTATTTTTGAGCCACAGCACATCATTAGAAGCATAAAGAGCCTGTGGATGACAAAGATTAATATTTCCTATTCCTGACATTTCAAATGCCCTTAGGCTTCCTAGTTCTAATTCTAATGTTCTCTGACAAGCAGCAGAGGTCTTCACAGAATAATTGTTTCTATACTGTTTTAAAATACTAATAGATTAATTCTATCTACCAAATTAGTGGACCTATGAAAGTGTTGAAATATAATTTGTTTACAGATGTTGAATTTAAAGAGGCTTTTTAGATTACATTTTTTGAAAAAAAGTTGGAAAGGTGTATAAACTTCCTTTTACTTCAATTATGAGTTACTATGTGTTATTCTACCAAGTTGGACAAGACCAAAATGTAAGGACTCATAACAGAGGGACCCAGAATTCAGGCAAGTCAGACAGTGGGATAGCTTAAAAAGCATTAATTTAAAACAGCATGCTGCGGATCTGTGGTACCAGCGGCTAGGACATCGAAGGCAGGAACCTCTACAGGATAGAAACACAGGTTAGTGACCACAATATTCTGACTGAGATTATTATGAATGCTTGAGTCACTTACCTGGTTAAACAGTTCAGAACGAGGGTGGGTCCTCTGGGTCAGCTGATAAGACACAGTGGATGCTGCCAGAGTTCCAGACTCTGGAGCCTAGAAGGCTGCAGAACTGGCCCAAGGTCAGATCCAAACAGAAGAAGGAAGGTAGGTTAATAAAGGTTGAAGTCAGATCCAAGTTCAGTCCACAAGAAGAATCTGGCAAATGTCCGAAGACAGGTCAGTAACACAGATCAGGGGCAGCCCGGCTCAAAGGTCCGAATACAGAAACGGGTCAGGATAAAGCAATCAGGAGACTTTAAAAAACCCTACAAAACTCTCACACCAAAGGCACTGAGTTAGACAGGTGATTGAAGTCAGCAATTAAGCTAGTAAACAGCGCCGAGATCATGACACAAAATACACAAAAGTTTGAGGTTGGTAGGCTGACGTTAACTATTTTTTCATGGTGTGAATTCTTTTGTGAGTTACTTGCACTTTGGTGACAGACAGTATACAACTGCAGCAATAATAAGTTAGAGCCAGCATTCTTCCAATAGTTTCCTTTTTACATTTTTTTATTCCAAAGCCAGCCTCCCTTTGCTTCACAGATCAGTTGAGCAAACCCTGCCAGTGTACACTTTATGCCATAATGTCAACAGCTGTGAGTAAGTCTCTCACTGTGTTTTGTGAGAGTACAAAAAATGTAAACTTTTGGACTCTTTAGCACTTATTCGAGGAGCCTAATATCCATTGCAAACTTAAAAAGTAGAAGCTTGTGTTTGATATTGACTCACCTTTTGCTTGTTGACATACGTAAAAATAATGGTTCATATATACCCTGGATTTTTGTTATAAATAACTTTTCTTTGCCTGTTATTGATCTCAGAAAGATATTCTCCTGGCAAAGAGGCAGGTAGGGCTACAGGAGAAAAATATGTTTCCTACCTGTTCTGAAGTTATATCCAAGAGACACAGCTTTATTCACAGTTAGGTCAGCAAAGAATAGGATGTTCTCTTGACTTTGGCATAGTGGTTCTTTGAACCAAATTATTTGAATAACTGCAATAACTTACAAATAAAAAAACTAAGTAAAAGAAAAGATCCTAATATATGGCACTGTTCTACCTTATGCACAAATTAGTTGTTTTAGCTCCCATCTGTTGATATAAAAAGGTATTAGCAATTTTATTAGGAGGTCACAAAAAAGCTGACACAATATTTATAGGTTGTTGACTTTCCTTTACTAAATTTCCAAAAGTGAGTAGCCATGGGAATAGGTACGTATAAGACAGGACACCTTTATAAAGGACTAATTAAAAGTAACTAATTATTTTCTTGGAAAAATAAATTATATAAAAAAAAGAAAGATCCATAAATTAGATCTGGATTGAAGTTTAAAAAAGATGAGACATACGTATACAATACTTTAATAGGCTTATAGCTGAATCATAAAGCAAGTAAATACCATCTTGTTCTTCAAAGTGCAATGGATTACTGCCTTTGCCTTCAGTCTTTTGTTGAGTAAGCTGCTTAATTTGAGGTCTTAAATATTAGTGCTCAACCCTTGTCATCTACTTTTTTTTATTTAATTGAGCCTTAAAGCACATTTTCTCCTAAAATTTTAAAGAAAAATAGCATTACAAACCCAAACAGAAAAAAAAGAACTTTTTGAATAAATGCACTCAACCCTAACCCTGTGGTAGACATGGGTAAGGACAACGGCTCCTATCAGGAAGGGGACAAGAGGCTTACATGTGAGCTGGTACCAGTTAAGGTGCAAAGTTAAATGATACCTGCAAAATGTTCTATGCAGTTATCAAAACAAAGTTTTTCAGCTAAGAAATGTTGGTTTTTCACATATTTAATGTGTTTATTGTTGTCTAAAGCAAGCTAACAAGAAACAAATTGTTACCAAATGGTACCCCATGAAGACGTGTTTTGAACAGTTGTTAACAAAGATAAAACCCATTTAGATCACTAAGGGTCTAAACACTAATATTAAAATAATGTTTATTTATTTTCTCAAATTCTCATTACATTTGAGTGCCTAAATATAACCAAAGAATCAATTTTAAATGAGCCCCGTTGTGTCTGCTAGCTACTAGCTCCATTATCTTCATAAGTGAAACCTATCTAAAGAAGCGATGTTTGTCTTAACTATTCCCTGAAAAACAATCCCAGGAGGTTAAGAATCAATTAACTAAAAATATTATTGATTTCTGATTAAGCAAATTAGGTAATAAATTATTATTTAACAAAATAATACTTTTTTAATTTCCTTATATTTGTATTTTGAATTAGTTTGAACATATTCCAATTGCTTTAAATAAGTCAAAAGCTACTTGGACCTCATTCCAAGCTCTTCAACATAAACTATGG